CACAACCAGAATGCAATCTTCCCCTTATTTTCAACGGCCATACAAAGAGGCTGTGTTTGAGGCTCTGCTTTTGTTGCGACAGCTGCTGAGCCATCCGAGCAGCTCAGTGCACAGCTGTTGGATTCACGGTGGGTTGTTGGGTGGGTGTTTTTTTGGCAAAACATGTCTAAACCACTCAGGATTTGGGAACTCTTCTTTAGAGTGCAACAGAAATGGCCCCGCCACACTAATTGCTCCAACAAAGCTGGATATTCATTCCAGTCTGCAGCATACATGGGAAGTTTGCTCTCGTCTTTGAAGAGAACTTCAAAGGGCCCTGCAATAAAGGAGAGGTGGGGACAGAGCGGGGTTTAATCCTAAGGAACTTCTAAAAAGGCTTTTAGAGATTAAAACACGGAATGTTCCACCTCAGTAAAGAGAAAACCGTCTTCTCAGGTTACCCCAAACACCTTCATTTTGGATAGGAGTTCCCAGGCAGGTCAGAAATGCATGCATTCCAGCAGGCAGCCTGCTGGCCATCACCAGAACTGCTGGTAAGAACTACGCCCAGAGCACAGCTTGGTCTGAAGGAGACACATGCAACAGAGCAGCGTGCAGATCTGTGACAGCATTGCAAAGAGAGGCTGCTCCCAGGGGGGTGTATCTCATGTAATGCACAGGGAGCTGCTCTGTCAGCCAGCACAGAGCAAATACAGGAGTGGAAAGACGCCTCTGTTCTCTTTGGGGTTTGAAAATCAGTGTGAATACCACTTCTTGTCCAATCAACCCTCTTCATAAGGCCGTGCTTTTGTTTTCACCCCCCCCTCATTGAAGCACACATCTTACTCTCCCCTCCCAAACTGGAAAATAAATTAATCCCAGCTGCTATTCCGTATCGTTGGACCCTCAGGAATATGTTGCAGTTGGTCCTTGGATGAGGATACGTCCCTCAGAATGCAGTATGGTGCTGGAATTCTGCTGCCTTCCATTCCTGCCTGCCAGACAGAAGCAGCAGCACACCTCATTCCTCCCCATCCCGAGCTTATTGCCACCAAATGCCCCTGGGGAGGCTCAGCCTCTCCCCTCTCACTCCAAACCATCACCCTTTAGGTCTCATTCCACGTGACCTCAACCACAGTGCACGCAATGCACACACAGCACCGGCCCTGGTGTGGCTGCGCATCACCACCACTCACTTTGCACATCGAGCTCCTCTGGGTCACGCTCAGCTTCAGTGTCCTTCTGTCGTCCTATCAGTGCATTGCATTTGGTCTTGGACATCTCTCCCATCTGCAGAGCTTTTGGGAAAAAGAAGCAGAGCGCAGATGGTGGCCCCTGCTTGGAAGACATCTGCCAGCAGCTCCCCTCTCTCACATCACATCACATCCAGTACTTAGGACAACTTTGGGATCACTGCCATTGCTGGGATGGTTTCTAACCATCAGATCCCACCCAAAGATTTCAACACTTCCTTATATAACATCCTCATGAAGATTTAGTAGCACGTTATCAATTAAACAGGTTAAACTCATTACTTATGAGTAATTAGCAATTACAGATAAACTGAATAAAGCAACACACAGTTTTCCAGACCTTCATATTCCTGCCCCACCATTTTACCACTGGACCAGTGGTACAGCTCTCCCAGCCTCTTCCCCCACCCATGGAGGAGCACAGAGCATCCCTTCCAGCTCGGTTTGCTTGAAGACCTTGGGGATGGGCTGTCCTCCCCCACCATTTCCATTATTCTACACCCATTTGCTCATTCAAAATGTTCCTGCAGCAGGATTTCATTTGCTCTCCATATAGCTCCCTGTGGCAGCCCTCATTTAGTCGATGCCTTCAGTGCTGAGGCTGTTGCATTCAGATATGTCAGTCTAAAAGCAGCACATCGAGACAGATTAAATACAGCCAAGCAATTCTACCAGAACTAAGTCAGATGCCCCTGTTTATTTGACATAGCATAAAAGGAAAAGCACATACAATCCACAAACCAAAGATCAGCTTTGTTGGAGCTCTATGAATAAAATTGGATATTTCCAGCCATCCTCCTGCAGCACATTTCCATATATATTGCACAGAGTAAACAAATCACTTCTGGCACTGAAATATTGTGCATGAGTGCATGCAACAGCTGCTCCTTCGTGCATCAGTCACCTGTGATCAGATTCTTATTACAAGATGCACCATCCCAACAGGGGTGGAAATAAACCCCAGCGAGCACAGACTGCTTGGCTTAAGGAGCAGGGATCTTGCCTGAATACACACCTCATCTGCTTCCCCTTACGTGGCTCTGGATCTCCCTTTTATGCCTTTCCAGTCTGAGCAATGCTCTCTGCTCACTGTACAGCAATCAGGACATGATAAATCACAACAACCTCGACAGCACTCACTATTTCCAGGTAGGCAGGCACCTATCCCAAAGGACCCAAAATCCCAGCCAGAGGCATCCACGACACCTCCAGCAAAAACACTGCGATGAAAGGGATGGGGAGGTCAGGAAGATGAGTTTCACCCAAATTGGGGTGGCAGCACTCCAGAGGACATCCCTTACCTGTTCACATGGCCAGCAGGAAGCTGTGCTGTTCATGGAGTCCACCCTTCCCCACTGTGACATCGCCGCTCCCTACGGCAACCAAAGAAAAGTGAATGGGAAATAAACCTTTCCAAGGGGAAATGCTTCAACAGAAGTTGAAACCATCCGAAGCATCGCAGGAGGTCAACACTGAGAGGCTGCGTTGGAGGAATGGTCTGAGTGAATGCACGCGGGGGGGAAGCTCATACAGAGGGAATGTTGGTGCTGTGACCCCTGGGTTGAAGGAGGAAGCCACAGCAGTGATGGATACTTGCTCACTTTAATGCATGGATTTGCAGAAAAGAGGGCATAGAAATACACCCTGAAAGGCAGATGTTCCCACTGCTCAGTGCAGCCAGCTCACAGCAGGGCAAAGGAAGCAATGCAGCTCAATAGCAGCATTCTGATTCTACAACAAACCAAAAACAACTGCATTGACTATGCATTAAAACACAAAGAAAAGCCTTTTGGTGGCACTTTCTGTGAACAGACACATTCCACTCTTATCCTAACCCCAAAGCAGGATCCATCCTGCAGCCACCCCACAGAGTTCCAGGGAGCACGTTGGCTGTGGATAACACTTCCAAAAAGCAATTGCTTTGTCTTAATTTGTCTGAATTAAAATCCCAACAGCAAACGGAAAACAAACCACTCCGAAGCTTTGCTCCTTCTCTCAGACCCGAGCAAAGAAAACACTCTTCTGGAGCGAAAAAAAAAAATGAACCCGCCATGGGAACACGGTGACCCCGACGTGATTCGAACACGCAGCCTTCTGATCTGGAGTCAGACGCGCTACCGTTGCGCCACGAGGTCCCGGAAAGCCGACTCTCCGCCTGCCCCCAAGAGCCTACGCTCCACCCCGCGCATGCGCACAATCTCAAATTTTCAACCGCCCTTCCGTGGCTCTCCCGCTAACGGAAAGACCCCAAAGGGCTCCGTCGCCACCCCTCGGAGGCTCAGTACCTCTCCTCCCGAAAGCTGCCCCCAGCACCGCTAACCCCCATTACTCCCCAAGCCACACAACGCCGCTGAACGCATTTCAAGCCACCCGCCCGCCTGGCCACGCCCCCTCGAGCTGTACCACCGCCGGGGGAGGAGCCGCCCCGCACCACCGGGCAGAGCCCACGTGACCCCTCCCCTCCCCTGGACACCCCCCCGCCTTGGTCTGTCCCAACGCCGGCATCGCAGATTTAAAGGGGCCGCGCCCCGAAAAAGAGAGCCCCGTTCTGAGCGCGAGGTTGCGTGCTCCTGCTTCTCTCCCAACGAACCCGCTGCCCCTCAAACCCCTGGATCTGGGCCGCACGTGCACACCCGAAATGAAGCCCATCGTTCAGAAGAGGATGATAAAACCACTTTATTGCAACAGTCGCCAAGGCTGCCTTTGGTTGTGCTCGCGCAGCCGGGCTGGGAAAGTGCTGGCTTCAAGTGCAGGAATTGGGGTTGTACAAATGAGCATAAACACGTGCAGTTCCAGGAGCAAAACTCAACAGTGAAGGGATGGGATGGGGTGGTGGAGGGGGGGGAGAGAAGGGGAAGGGAGGGGAGGGGGGAGAACAGAACAGAATAGAATAGAACAGATCCGATCAACAGACCAGTCCTTCAGTGCAAACCGCAGTCATGATGTGCATCTAGAATTCACAGTACACTGCTGTCAGTCAGAGCCATCAGAGCAGAAGCCATTGGGATGTGTGTTTTTCCATCTCCTGGTGTGCTCTGTGTGGGAACAGTCCCCATCTCTGCTTGGAGGGGCTTTGCCCATTGCATCCCATGCACTGCCCCATCGCTGCCAGGTGGTCGGATTCCAAAACTTTTTTCATTTGTATGAAGAAGGCTGAAAACCAACTCGGGGAAGGACAAGGTTTGTCGCATAGCAAAAACCCTGATCTCCAAAGGTCGATAAAATCCACACTCTAGAAATTTGCATAAATAATTTGTCCAGATAGGAAATACAATAAGTACAAACCTGCTCTGTGCGTTGATACGTGTTTGCAAATGCCACGTTTATCTTCTCAAAGGGATGCACAGCTTTGCATTTGCCATGCATGGGGCTGACCTGGTCTTCTGTCTCTCCAAAGTAGAGAAAAGTCATTTGCTGGCATCATGAAAACAGACTAAAAATAGCTGGTTTCTATGGCTACTGAGGCTGGGAGACTCCTGAGGAACAAGTCTGGGTAGGTCCCTTTCGTGATGAAATCCAGGCAGTGGGATAAAAGGGAAGGACAATAAAAAGAGGTTGAATGCTTTGATCCTCCATAGACACCGCAGAGCTCTCCATGTGAGTGCAGCAACTGCAGTGATCAGTGCAGGTTTATTAGGGGGGAATCAGGGAATTGTATAGGATCTGACAAAACACCTCACAGACGCACTCAGGAATGGGGTTTTCTCCCTTCTCTTCTCCCCCCCCCCTTCATAAAAGCTGCACCAGGAGGTGCCATGTGGGCAGTGCTTGGGTTTGCTGGAAGGGGCTGAGCTATGGTCCATCCATCCCCAAAGTCTGAGTGCAATGGGGACCCTCCTTCTGCACCCACCCCCGCTTGGATGTTTTCCCTGGTGTAAATAGGATTAAAGGAGGATTATTGCTGGTGGGAAGAAATGCATTTTTCAGGAGTGCTGCGTTCCTCTTCTTAAGGAGCAACTGTAAAAAGAAAAGGCAAAAAAAAAAAACCCCAAACCTGGAAAGCCACAGCATAGATGTCATGCAGTGCGCACAGAGCCAACGTGCAATGGAAAGCATGATTTGCATCTTGCACTTTGTACCCTTTGCACGACTGGGAGCTGCTCAGCACCCAGCAGCCAACTCATGGGTGGTTCAGCAGCCTCAGCTTCGGGCACCCTGAGGGTGGGAAAGTCTTGGAAAAGTGTTTGGGTATCACTGGAGGGACAACAGGAGTGTGCACTGCCTGCAATGTGGGTAGGATGTAGCTGCTGCGGTGCAGCCACTTCTGGAGGGGAGAAGCAAAAGCAGTGTGGATGAGCCAAAGGCGGTGTGTGTGTGTGTGTCTGTCGCTCGGGAGAGCAAGAGGAAATCCTGAACAAGAAGCAAAATCCCAGCTTACAAAAACGCCTGGGGTTTTTTGTGCAAATGTGGGGGAGAGAGAAAGAGAGGCAGGGAGAGCGTTTCTCTTCTGAAGAGAGCTGTCAGCTCCCAGCCCTCGCAGTCTCAGAAGCATCCCAGCCTTGTTAAAATGCTGCCAATGGAAAAAATAAATAAAATAAAGTAAAATAAAATAAAGGAGAAAAAAAAAAAGCCTCACAACTTTACTTTGACTGCTGCAGGATCATCAGGCGGCAGCAGGAAGAGTGCAGCATCCTGGCAGGTTGGCAACAGAAAGAGGCAGGCTGAGCCTGGTGGGAAACAATACACAGCTGAAAGGACCTTCACCATAAATCTGGAGGTCAAGGCATGATGATGGGGGAATCAAAAAGCACCACGAGCCGTTTATGAGCACAATAGAGGTCAATCCAGGAGCAAACCATTTTGCTCGGAGCCACGGTGGAAAACATATTGTTGCTCTGAGAGCTCCATCCGTGCAGGGAGGTGGGAAGTTCACTTTAAAAATAACTGTAGCTCGGGCTCCTGAGCATTCAGGCTGCACCTGCTTAATTTATTGTGTTTTCACATGCACATGTAATGGGTGTAGGTGAGCATCTGCCTGTCTTGCTTTCAAATCCTACATTCATTCACTGGAGATGGGAGCACTAGAGACACAGGGACAGTCCAAGCAGGCACAGAGCTGCCAGTGTGCAACCACGGTGTGCTCCTGAGCAAGCACAGAGCTGCTGCACACAGCCAGTGTGCAACGTGGTGGTGTGCACCATGCAGGCGTGCATGGCACGAGCAGTGTGTGCATAGTGTGTGCACAGAGCAGTGTGTGCTGGGCATGCACCATGTGCAGTGTGTGCAGCATGCATGTGCCATGGAGAGCATGCACAGTGAGTGCATAGCATGAGTGCAGAGCCTGCAGCAGAGTTCCCAGCTCATCTCTTAACACCCAGGAGCCCTCAGAGCACTCCCTCCATGCACAGAATCCTTTGCAGGGATGCTCTCTGTGCATCCAGCTTGACACAGAGCTTCGGAGCAGCTGTTAGCTGCACATCCTCTGCTGCCAAACTGTGATGGATCTGCAGTCTAAGAGGTTTAGCAGTGAGGGTTTTGAGGTCACGAACCTCTCCCGCAACCCACAGCAATATTTTAGCCTCTGTGAAACCCGACTGAGCAAAAGCTGCCCATCATCTCCCTGAATCTCACCCTGCTGCCAAAAGAGCCCTGAGAGGGGTCATCACCCCACATCTTCACTAGGGGGAACCAACTGTGTGCCCCCAGGAGTGGGGCACCAACAGCTGAACCCAAAGGTGGTTGCATCAGCATTAACCTTGGTGTCTTCAGCTTCCCTGGGAGCCTCTGTGTGCACTGCAAAGTAAAAGGCTGCTGCAGCCTCAGAGCTCCCAGAGGACACATTACAGCCTGCATTAACCACAGCATTTCCCACTGATCTGTGCTTGCCAGGCTGAAATCTGCTGAGCTCCACAGTGATGAAGGCAGGGACACCTGGCCAACACCCGGAGCCCAGCAAGGAATCACTCAGTTCACATCACCTGAGCTCAGAGAGGGGAGAAGCAAACTGCCCTCTGAGTGCCCCCAACCCTGGGGTAGGTGCACAGGGACCAGGCATTGCTGCCATCCCACAGCCAGCATCCATCCACTGCTTCCCACCACAGCCCACAGGCACACAGCAGCGGAGAGGATTTAGAGCTCCTCAGCTGCACCTTCTGTTCTTGGCACTTCTGGCTGCTTTTTGTCCTAAATCCTTCAGATGAGAAAATAAAATACTGGCTGTGTTGGTTCTGGGTGTTGGCTGAGCCAACAGATCTCCATAGGGCAGCTGTCACTGGTGGCTACAGCTCTGTTTGTCATGTGCAAATGTGCTCTGAGAGCCCTGGGAAAGTCGAGCTGCTTAACAAGGCAGGGGGGGGGAATTGCTCTCTAAGTTTGCTCAGCCCCTTCTGTGGGAGCTCCCAGGGGGTGTCAGGCTGCTGCAGTCCATGCCCCCTGCTCCAGAGACGTGTCCCCCAGTTATTTGCCCTTCCCCACGAGCTGTCCCTCCTGCTTTTCTCAATTCTTGGCCATGGCAGCACCGAGGCTCCAGTGTCTGAAATGAGATCTTGAATTTTGGGTATAAATGGGGCCAAGGATGCAGGCTGGAGCCCAGCATCGTGACACCGAGACCTCAGCAATGTCCCCAGATCTGTGGGGACCCTCACCAGGGGTCGGCTGCTGGAGAACATCTGTAGGACAGTCCCTGAAAGGCACAGAATGTGGGGAGCTCCTGTATGGCTTTAACCGTAGGTAGGAAGGATGCACAGAGAGGGTGGAGGGGAAATGGGGATCCAGGGGACCTCAGGAACAGCCACACAGTGCCAGACGAAGGCAGTGGGAGCAGGAGCAGCCCTAGGGGTGTGCATCTCCTGCCTGGCACCCGTGAGCATCGCTTTCATCCTCCTGTGATTGGGTTCTGCATATAGAGAAGGGAAACAGCGGGTGGAAGAACTTAAGGATTTCTGCTCTGGAGGACAAGGTTGTGCCAGAAATGTCCCTGCAGAGAGCCCCCAGTGACACCACCTGGAGGCTGTTGGCCTTTGTGCCAACCATGAACCGGCTCCTGTTGGACTGCATTGCTCAGTGGCACAGGAATGAATGCCACCACCACTGTGTCCCCTGCACGAGCCTGGTGGTGTGCTTGGTGTCCCCATCAGGCTCTGCTGTGCTGCAGCTACAGAGCCAGGCATGGCTGAGAGGTGAAGATTGGCTTCTTGCAGTCCCAGACATTTGCTTGAGAAAAACTTAATAAATAATAATTAAATACATTAAAAATAGAGCTTGCTTGTACGTTCAGCCAATTCTGCAGCCGTGAGAGCACTTACCACCCTGAGGCAGCCCACCCCCAAGCACTATTAATCCATGCAGGACATGGGCTGGCTCCGGATTTCGGAAACCCTTTTAGGGTTTGTCTGCAGAGCAGTGCTGGGGTGAGGGCAGGGCAGTGGGGAATCCTCCTCTGACTGCAGCTGTTGGGGTGCAGAGGGCTCGGTGCATGTGGCAGGATGGCTGCAGCACCCCAATAATGTCTGCAATGCTGGCTGGTGCCTCCCAGTTTGGGCACTCCCATGTTTCAGCTCCCTCCTGGCCAGGCAAATGTCTGCAGAGAGAAAATGAGCAGAGCTGCAGGCTGAGTGCATTAGGGCAGATAGAGCTCTCAGCCCCATGCTGAGCCCCCCAACACTCTCTGCCCCACACACCTCTGCAGCACAGGGATCCCTATAGAGGCGACAGGAGAGGGGACAGCCAATGTCCCCCAGCAGCTCCGATGTCCCACTCCTGTCCCAGCTGCTCACACCGCCGTCTCCTGCTCTGCACTGGGCTCCTCCTTCTTCCTCTTCATCTTGCAGAAGCCATGCAGCCCGCAGAAGCAAGCGAAAGTGAATTGGGGCATCACCTGGAGCATCCAAGGGGACCTGGATGGGAACAGGGAGAAGGGAGAGAAATCAGGGCAGCTCCAACAGCACAAGCAGACAGGTCCCTAAAATCCTCAAAGTGGAAAACCTCCCACTGGCACATCTCTCTGCCAGTGAAAAATGATGGGATGAAAGCCAACCTCAGCCCCTATTATAGAACTGGGGGCAATCGGGACAGATGCGAGGACAGCTTGCAGTGCCTGGTGCTGGTTCATAGCCCCCCGTGGACAAGGAGCCTGGGACCCCTCTGGTAGCACAGCACCACAGGCACAGCACGATGGGGCACAGCTGAGAGCGTTGTCCCCTCACTCAGTGTCCATTTGAAGCAGAGAAAATGACGCCCCAAAGCACAGCCCTAATGATGGGCCAACAGCTGCAAAATGCAGCGATGCAAACGCAAGGCTGCTTGGCTTAAGAAAAAATAAAACAGCACCAACTCCCAGAAATGCTATCTGCAGCAAAACCTTTCTCTTCTCCCTGCTTTCCTCTGCAGCACTTGCACAGCTTGCAGGTGATCAGCCCTACGCCTGCCCACCCCACATCACCTCCCAGCCCCAGGCAGACAAGGTAACACACAGAGCTTCAGTTTATCCCACCTGTGAAATGGGCACAAAGTTATCAAAGAACCACGTGGGAATCTCAGTGTCTGAAATACTTTTGCATCCAGACCCACAGCTCCAACAAGGAGCAAATTCTACTTCTATCACTGCCCCCTCCCCAGCTGTTGCCAACCAGCTGGGTACCTGCCGAGCAGCCCCATGAAATACTGCTACCTCTGGAGCTTGCAAATAATGACAACAGGCTCTTCAATGAGTCTCTATCTGGCTCTGAATGCCTCTCAGCATAGCGGTGGGTCCCTGCGCCTCTCTTTGTGCTGCTGCTTTTTGTTAGGAGCCCAAGAATGGGGATCTGGGAGGGAAGGGCTGGAGCTGAGGGCCGTGGGGATGGTGGAACCCCTGTGTTGGGGCACTCAGTCCTGATCCCTATGCACCATCAGATCCTTGCATGGCTCATGCCACACCATGACGATGCCATGTCCAACAATCTGTTACTCATCAGGAGAATGGGGCTGTGCAGGATGTCCTGAGCACTGCTTGGTCCCCTCGTGCCCCATGTCACTGCATCCCAGTGCCACCCACATCACAGTGCCACCCATGTCCCTGTGCCACCAATATCCCTGTGCCACCCATATCCCAGTGCCACTCACATCTCAGTGCCACCCCTATTCTTGTGCCACCCATATCCCTGTGCCACCCACATCCCAGTGCCACCCCTATTCCTGTGCCACCCATGTCCCTCTGCCACCCACATCCCTGTGCCACCCCTATTCCTGTGCCACCCATGTCCCTCTGCCACCCACATCCCAGTGCCACCCCTATTCTTGTGCCACCTATGTCCCTGTGCCTCCCATGTCCCTGTGGCACCCACATCCCAGTGCCACCCCTATTCCTGTGCCACCCATGTCCCTCTGCTACCCACATCCCTGTGCCACCCACATCCCAGTGCCACCCCTATTCTTGTGCCACCCATGTCCATGTGCCACCCCTATTCCTGTGCCACCCACATCCCTGTGCCACCCACGTCCCCACACTGCAAACACAAAGCATCTGGGGGGTCGGGCTGCCAGGACCCCCACACCCAGAAGGGACCCATTGACAGATTCGGAGGAGTTTGTAACGCTGAGGCTTTTCAGGCTGACCCTCTGCCTCCCATTCAGGCAGCAGACAATGATGAATGAGCCCCAGAGAATAGAGGCAGCCCAGCTGAGGCTGGCGCTCCTGTTCTTCTTGAAAAGGTGGAAAAAGGATCCTGAAGGAGCAAGGAATAATTAAAAAAATAAATGAACCAGCTTGGGCAGCAATGACAGAAACCCTGCTTGATTTGCAAGGGCCGGGCATGCTTCACAGCCCCACGCTGCCCTTTCTATTCAAGGGAGAAGATCCTTTGGATAAAACTCTGCTGCAGCAGAGAAAATGCGAGGAGCATTAAAAATGTAAAGCTCGAGAATTCTCTTTAGTCAACTGCATAACCCCAGGCCGTGTTTGTCACTGTCACGGTGATGAATTGGGAGCTGTCTGGAATCAGCATGCTCACTTTAATAATGTGACTTTCCTCGAGCCCTAAAAAATGTCTTTGCGAAGCAGCTGGACAGAGCCTGTCCCTTAGCAATGCAATTACCAGCCTGGGCTTTGCTTTGCATCCATGCAATGCTCACAGTGCACCGAAATCTCTGCTCCTCATCCCCGTGCAGGGGGTTGTGATGAGGGTGCACAGCGTGCACAAAGGGAGGCAGAGCAGCGGCATCTCACCCCAACGCTGCTTTCCTACCCCACCCCGGCTTTGCTTTGCTTTGCTGCTTTTATTTTTGGAGGAGAAACGCCATCGAGTGAACACTGGGTTGGAAAGAAACCGGCGTTAAGTTTTGCATTTTAAACTCTGGGTTTCAAAAGCCGCCAGCGTGTCGGGGTTTTTTGTCTTGTTTTGTTTCTTTTTCCTGGGAAATGGGATCATTTGCAATGGAAATGGGTCTCTTTTATTTTATTTAGTTTTGGGGTTTCTTCTTTTCTCGTTTGTTGTTGTTGTCCTTTCGGAGGAACCGAACGGAATCCAATCGTTTGTAATGAAAAGTAGAGAAGCTCCCAGCAATTTGATTCCGGTTTGCCTTTCACTGCACCTCTGCAGCTGGGAGAGCTGGGTGTAATGGATGCTATAGGGAACACAGGGACTTCGGAGAGCTTTGTAGGTCACAACCCCAGAGCTGCTCTGAGCATCGCAGCACCATACAGTGCCCCCTAAGCACGGCACCCCATGGTTCCCACGCAGCACCCATCACACAAAACCCTTCCCCCTCTCCTTGCAGCCACAGCATCCACCCAAATTGGTCCTTATTTCCAAGCCATCATTTCCTAGCATTGCTTTCACCCCCCCTCCTTTTACAAAGCACGGGCATCACGCTGCTCACAGCCCAGCCTAAGACAAAGCCAACTTCAAAGCAGCCTCTCTAATGAGCCGGCAGCGCGTTGGAAACCCGAGACCAGGGGGACGAAACCGGCCAGAAAAGAAGCGCTGCCCCTTTAAGGAGAGATAATGAACGGCCAGGCTGTTGCTTGGCATGTTTGCAGAGAAGCGCTAATTAAAACATCGCTTCTGTAAAGTATGCTGATCCCATTGATTCTTCCCCCCACACAGTTAATTTGCTGCTAGGAAGGCAAAGTCGCAAGGGCCCTCATTATAAAAATTTCACTGGCTGCAGCTAATGGTTGTAATTAATAGGTGCAATAAATTCCAAATGGGCAGCCGGGGTGTTCATTAGCTGCGGGCTGACTCAGCACCGGTGGCCTCGCAGTTACTAAATAATCCATTTCCAGCAGCCGGGAGGAGGAAGGCGCCCCATGGCACATCCAGAATCACACAGAATCACAGGATGGCCAGGGTTGGAAGGGACCTCGAGGATCACGAAGCTCCAACCCCCTGCCACCAGCAGGGCCACCAACATCCGCATTGCACAGCAGCCCAGGCTGCCCAGGGCCCCATCCAACCTGGCCTTGAACACCTCCAGGGATGGACGGGGCATCCACAGCCTTTCTGGGCAGCTGTTCCAGCACCTCACCGCTCTCACAGCACACAACTTCCCCCTGACATCCAACCTCAATCTCCCCTCCCTCAACTTCAAACCATTTCCCCTTATCCTGCAGTTATCAACCCTTTCAAAGAGTTGGAGCAGAGTTGGAGAAATAATTCCCAGCAAGGCGAGGATCCACTTCTTTTTGTCTCATTTGGGAAATGCCCATGAAATCCCCCTCCACCCCAGTGTCTCTACCAGCAAATCAGGGTAGGGTTTCCCAAAAGTGCATCGATGCTACCTGCAGCCAGACACAGTGCAGCAGCTCACAGAGCCATGCATGCCCATGCAAAAAGCAGCGCTCACTGATGTGCTGCAGCTCTGCTGCCAGAGCTGTGGGTTGTGGCATGCTCAGAGGTGTGCTGGCAGTGCACACCCAGGCTCCTCGGCCCCCTGCTCCATGCTGAGCATCATCCTCTATGGGACGTCCACGAGTTTGGATGCATCACAGCTCTGATTACAAAACAACGGCTTTTTGGTTCGTTATCATCTGGCTGTAATTAAAGCATTCATTGTTGGCACTCCTTCTTTTGGTTATCTCTCAGGATTGATATCCACGGGGCTGGGTAAGCCACTGAGAAACTGCTGCTGTTTGTGCTGCTCTCCCAGCACAGCGTTACACTGAGACCTGGGCACGAGCCAGGTGGCCCCTGCCATGCGTGGAGCCAAACTTAGGGCTGGTGACACCAGGAGGGACAGCCAGGGTGACACTGCAGCTCCAGGCACAGCAGCACAGCACACAGCTGCAGTCATTCCTCCCCGCAGGGCAGCACACAACAAGCCCCAGCCTTGCCCAGGGAGGACGGCGGATGCCTCACTCTAAGCAGTGGTTATTATCTGTAATTAGCAACGTGTCCTGCTCTGCACGCTCGCTCCTGGGAGCTCAGGAAGGTTCCAGCAGTTTTCTTTGCTGGTGAAAGAGAACTGCCCAGCAGCAGCCTGCAGCTGCTCCTCTTCTCTGGAGCATGGATGGAATTTTGCTCAGCACCTTTTGAAAAAGAGGTGCATACCCACATTGTCTGAGACGCTTTGAGAACACCAACCTGGCCTCCTGTTTTATTTAACACCATGAATGTTTTATAAGCGCAGCAGCAGAGGGGCTTTGCTTTGCTGCTCGGTGCTCTCTGGAGCCGATCTGCACAGTGAAGGGAGGCTCTGAGCTGAGACTGTTCGCAGACCCAAATGGGAGAACTGAACTCCAAAATTTGGGTGAGCAATACCAGCAGTCCTGACCCTGTGGGACTGATGGGATGTGGCGCTCACTGGGGACACAGAGGCCACAGTGTGGTTGAGCTGAGAGCTCACCTGGTGCTGGCAGCATCTCCTCTGCACAATGGACCCCAGCCAGGGCTCCCTGCCAAGGCTTTTTGCACAGTGAAGTTTGCACAGAAACACTTGTCCTGAGCACATCCCCCCCCCCTCACCTCCTGCATGCCCCGCTCGGATGTCCCTCTGAGGATCAAACAGATGGAAAAGCAGAAGCCAAACCTTGCTGCTTAAGCCTTTGTGTGCTGGATCTGCACAAACAAGGGCAAGGAAGATGGAGATTTAGCATGCAGTCACCACAGCCCCGGCTGCTGAGCATTGGATGCCCTGAGAAGCACCGCTCCAACCTCCCCCCATTGCTGCAGCCCCCCAGGACACAGCACTCCCTCTGTTTCTCCTCCCTGCTTGCCTTGCTACAAAACAATCAACAGCATAAAAGGGAGTGAGAGCAAGTCTCAGGGGCAGCATTGCACAGAGACGCTGCTGATAAACTCGCACTGAGCTGCTTTGCACAGCAGCAAACATCCATAGAGGCTGCTGCTGCTCCGGGGTGGGCACTCAGGTTCTCCTGTGCTTCTCAATGCTTGGGAGCGACTGAAGCTCAGAAATGGGTCTACACCCATTCCCATTACCACATCCCCAGTGGTGGATTTGCAGGCTCTGTTTCCATGGAGCAAAACCCCCAACACGGGGCCAACAGCACCTGCAAAGGATGCATTGGATGGGGGGGACTTTCCTTGCTGCTTCCCAGCCCAACACATAGAGTTGCAATGAAGAGGATGTTCCCAAGCTGATGCTTCACTGCTCTTTGCTATTCCCTCTGTTGTGGCAGCAGCATCCCCAGCTCCCAGCCTGGGCACACACACCAAGGCTGTGCACATCCAACCCGGGGTGCAGCCCTCCTTGGTGTGAATGGCGGCCATTGTGACGGGTGAATTTTCTGAATGAGCAAATCCTCATTAAAAAGTAATTAAAACAGCCCGGCGAGGTTGGCTTAATTCCTTTCGTTTTGACTGATGGTGTTTGGTTTTGATGATTTATGTGGCACAGCCGTGCCAGCTCTCATGCTTCCATTGTCGGAGCTCATGGGATTTCATGATTCCCTTCCTTCCACACCTCCTTGAGTCATGGGATTACAGCAAATCTCAGCCTTCATTTTTTTCAGTGACTATTATTTTTAAGGACGCATTCCAAGCTGGTGAACTCAACTTGAAAGCCTGACACCTAATGACTCAAAGCTCAGGAAGTGGAGGTGGGGGGGGGGGGGGGAGGAAGAGAACACAACCAAACAAAGAACTGAAAATCCCTCTCTTCCTGCATGGAGAGCTGGTGGTGACCCTCAGCTACAGCTTGGTGGCATCGCCCTCCTCTCTCACACTCAGTGCTGCCCCATGCACCTGTGATGTGTGCAGATTTTAATTAAAAGTGCACATTTGCCAAGTTCTGCCTATCTCACATGCTTAGCTTGACGCTCTCAGGGCTGCAGGGATGGGTGCAGCGTGGCACAACCCATTCAGCTCCAGGCTCCACAGCCTCCCCAGCGGGGTCCCGGTGCACCAGGCTGACGGGACGGAGGTGTCAGAGCTTTTCTCAGCCACCTGCGAACCCTATCAGACAATAGCAGAGAAAAGTCTGCTGCCTTCACCTGGCTGCCTTGCCCATCGCCCCTTTGCAAATTCCCCCAGCTCTCCGCCAGCCACTTTTGTTCCACAGGGTCTGCAGGTGGGGATGCTTTGAACGGCGTGAGAAAAGCTCAGTGCAAAGAAAAGCTGCTCCCTCCGCCGTGCGCTGAATGGGGACGGAGGCGCCTGAAAGGCCGTGCCCCCCACCATCCCCATCCCCTTTGTCTGCCCCTCTGCTCGCCACCCCCTGCCCCATCCGTCTTGCTAAGGCCCCGCAAGGCTTCAATGCCCCCTTTCACTCGGTATTTGTTACCAAATAAATATGGGTGATTAAAAAGGGATCAGGAGTCCATGTGGTTTGCGGAGGTGCCTGGAAGGTGGAGTCCCTCCCCTGAGTAGCCCATGGCTTTTCGCCCTACATGAGTTAGGAAAAGCAATCACATAGGAATAAAAAGCCATAGACCACAGCAGAGGGCTTACCGAGGATAAGCCAGCAGTCTTTGGGGAAAGAAAAGGCAAAAGAGGGGTAAAAAGAAAAACAGCTAATAATTACGTAAGGCTCTGTCTAAGCTCTCATCTCCCCACAATCAGTTGGAACACAACCTGCTGCCCAAGTGCGGAGCTGCACAAAGATGGGAACCCCCCCCCCCCCCAGCCAGCCCCTATGGCAGCTCTCAGCACTGCTGCAATGCTCTGCCCCATGGACTAAGGCAGGAGAGCCAACCCCATCCCCCAGCAGTGCCTTCTCTGCTCCTTACACAGCAATGAGCAGCGATTATGGAAACAGCCCCCTCTCACAGCAGAGGCGATGCTTAGAAAACAACGTGCCATAGCCTCAATCAAAGGCAATGAATCCAAGGAGCAGAAAACGAGAAGGTTTATTTTCACTTTGCCAGCTCTCCGGCCATAGCCCTACCTTATCTCCTTTGCTAAACACTGGGTGTTCCCCCTCACACCGTTCTGGGCTGCTCTTCAGATGCCAATACACCTTGCAAACCTCGGGTCACGCTGCATGGTTGGCGATGGAGCAGCGCAGCTGCACACCTGTGGGCCAGGTGCTCACTTGCAGAGAGGAGCAGCAGCCTGCAGACTCATTCCTTCTGCAGACAGGAGCTCGGGGTGCAGCTGCAACCTGTCCTGGGGCTGTTTGGGAAACCTGACCCCGAGGCCCTTGCAGCAGAATGGGGAACAGGAGCCGGCTCACCTGGCAGCACGGCGGGCGGATGCGTGGTGTGGAGGGAGCGAACAGAAGTGTCTTTGTCGGGGAGACAAAGGGCTACAGAGAGCCCTGGCTGCAGAGCCACCTCCTGCAGCGCCTTCCCCTGCTGCCTTCAGGAGCCTCATCCCTCCCTGCACGTACCCAGAGGCAGCTCAGGACAAGGTGCTGCAACAGGCAGCTTCTCCAAGACTCCATTCCTTCATTTGTTCTTTAGGGAAAGCCTCTGTGCTGCTCCACACCCAGGGGAGCTCCTCCATCATCACCTCCAACCTTCACAGATCATACCTGCAGAATGCACAGGCTCTGCCTTTATTCTCTCCCCCAGCCCAGACTTGGGCTTGGTCATCATGACTGCTAATTGCCGAGGGCTGATAAGGTCAGCTCTGCTGTGGAACCCAGGAAATTCCCCTTCTTGTTGCTCTGCCAAAATCCTAGGGGAATTCAATGCTTCTAAAACAACGCAGCCAGCAGATTTGGAATTGGGAAGGGTTCTGCACCCAGACAGGTTCTGAACACTGCAGTTTGGATAGCAGTGACCTGCAAACCAAGCTTATGGAGCACAGTGGTAGCTCTCAAGCGGCGCTTCCCAAGACTTCACCTCCTTATACACTCCCATATACCACTACCAAGAAGGAAAGGCAGCTGCATGCAAACCTCATGACCTGGCCACATTCAATTTGCAGCCCCTTGTCCCATGGGCAGAAGGGTCCTGAGCCCCACATGGTGTCGTGGGAAGCACCCATGGGTGCTGGGTGCCCTATATCCACCTCTGTTCCCTCACCCAGCACTGAGCTGCTCCCAGGCGTGCGCTGAGGATGCAGCCCACATTTCCCAGATCCTCATACATTGCAGGGTGGGGGGATGACTGTCAAGCCAGACTTAACATCTCTTTGAGGTACAGCCCTACGGCTCTGCTGTGGCACTCAGCTCCGGATGTCTGCAGCTCCACCTTTCTCTCCCCACCACTGGAGCATTGAGAGCGCACGCCCCTATGAGCGCCACCAGCCCCACACAACCCCCACAGGACCCAGAGGAGCCAGGCAGCCCTCAGGATGACCCAGCACCTACCTGCCCACACCTCCCTGGGGCTGACCTCACCTTTGGCAGAGCAGCATCCTCTCTTCCCTGCGAGGGAACACCACCACACCGACGGGGCACAGGGGATGGGGATGGCATTGCCTGCTTCCCCCTGCAGCACTCAGGCATAACAGGGATGCTCCATGGGGCAGGGAAGCATTCCCAGCGCTCTGAGCTCTGGTTCCTCACGCCTGTCCCCAGTGCCCCATCCCCACGTCCCCGCACGGGTGCATACTTGGAATGGTTGTGCACTGAGGGGCCACGAGGGGGGGGAGGGGGGTGTGGGGGGTCAGGTATTTCTCCATCCCCAGCTCCACAGAGCCGGTAACAAAGGCGCTATTGAACGGCAGCCTCTCTGGTCTGTGAAGCAGAAACCTCTTGTATCTACTTCAGTGCCTTTGATCTAACTCCCCCAGTGGGATAGATATTACTCATGTCCTGCTGCTCGGGTACTGCTGCCAGAGCGGGATGGGGGGAACCTGTTTCCCCTTCTCCTCACCCTGGGGGCATCCCAGCTCTTTCTCTATAAACCCCCTCTGCCCCACAGGTTCCCCTTCCTGGCTGCGTGGGGCACAAGGCATGGCACAGAGGTGGTGGGAGTAGCGCTCTGCACCTCGCATTCCTCTCCTGTAATTAAAGCCGGTGAGCTGGGTGGAGGGGGGAATTTCCCAGAGGGTTTTACTGGCGTCTGGACAAGGGTCAGACAATGAGAACATTTGACAAGGTGCCCAAATCCGCTGTATCTTGGATACGCTCAAAGCCTCCCCTGTGTTGTTTGTCCCGGGCTCTGCAGGATGGAGGTGGGGCCCACGGAGCAGGTTGGGGGGCTCTTAGCCTTCATCCCATCAGGGCTGCCCTAAAAACACCTGCAAAGTGCTGTGAGCATTGGATTGCACTGCATCTCCCCCCAGGGTCCCCCAAGAAACCCCCAGGAAGGCATCAAACACCTCAGATGCTCACCTTGTGGTGCTTTAAAAAACACTTTGCTGCTTTCAGCAAGAGACCCGCAAGCTCCCCATGGAGCTGGGGCCACTCTGGGCTTAGCCTGGTTCTGCTGGTCCTGGGAGACACGGGGATGCTGCAGCAAGCTGCCTGTGTATCATCCCAGAAGCACTGGAGTGCTTTTGGAAATCCTATTCCCAGCTGGTCTGCAGAAATCCTTGTGCCTGGCAGATCCCATCAGCACGCAAAGAGCTGCATGTGGGCATCACCTCCGGGGCTGTCAGTGACCACATTGTAGTGCCCAAAGGGAGGAACCCAAAATTCTAGCACAAGTTGCAGGGAGAGCTGAGATGGGCACAGAGCTGGGGCTGCCCCGTCCTGCTGCAGTAGCACACAGCAAGCAATGGAACAGCAGGATGGGTGGATGGATGGATGGATAGATGGGTAGATGGACAAATGGATGGATGGACAAATGGATGGATAGATGGATGGATGGATGGATGGATGGACAAATGGATGGATGGACCAGTGCTCAAGAACACAGAGGGGCAAAGCCAAGTTCCCCTATAGGAGCCCACAGCATCCCAACAAGGAGCAATCAGCTTTTCTTTTGGGGATCACTTAAAGCCCCCAGCCCCACACTGCCTGCAGGGTGTGTAGGACCAAACTCCTGCGTTGCTTTTAAACTTTAAGTATTATAACTTGGGGAGCAGTTGAAGTCAGAGTTGGGCGGAGATCCATTTTCAAGCTGTCTTGACAACAGGCTCCAGCACAGCAAGATTAGATCTACTAATCACATTTATAAGGCGCCCAGGATCATGAATTGGGTATTTGGAGAATATCTGTCATTGTAACAATGTCATTTTCCAGCCTTCAGCGTGCACTGCTGCGTCCTCCAAGCCGTCACTATTGGACTTTTTGTTTTTGATAGAAACGTCTGTGTGGGGAAGAGGAGGCTCAAATGTATTCGTGGTATTGCTGCTGAGGTGCGTGCTGTCTGCCACTCGTGATATTGGGGTGATATTGGGGTTATTTATGGATTTTTATCAGCTTTCTCATCGCCTGAGTTTACATGCATCCCTCAGCAAGCAGACACAGACCCGCTGCCCTCAAAAGCAGGCTGCTGTCTGCAGCAAAGGGAAACACCTGAGAGAGAGGTGCTCAACAAATCCATGCTTGCAGCAGCGGTGCAACAGTCACAGCATTGCATTCCGTGCACAGCAGCTGCTGTTCACCTGCAAGCACTGCAGCTCTGCGTTACTCCAAACCCAAATCCTCACCTTGCAGGTACACATGAGATCCCCAAACACCTCCCAAAACACACAAGGCAGCAGAAAACTGTTCTGCTTTCTTTTAAGGAGAGGAGATCTCTTCATTTTCTAGCTACTTTTGCAACTCGCTCCATGCCTGCGGGTTGCTCTGCCTGCCTCTGCAACCTCTCCCATGGGGTGGGTTATCCTCTGCCAGTGGGTCCAGGCCCCCATATGCCCTTAACTCAGGGAATTTTGTAGCAAAGCCTCCCATCAGCTCAGCCTGGCCAGCAGCAGGATCCCAGAGGACCGCCTGCTCCAGGGATGACTTTGGGGAGCAGCAATGTTTGCACAGAAACATTCAACTCTGAGCCAGGAGGAACAGTCTGCAAATCCAGACAGTTTGTACCAATGGGCTTCAGGTGCAAAACCAACTCTGAGAAGTTGCAAGCTTGCTCTCCTGCTTTTCCATTTGGAACAGTGTCACTTTCAGTTCTCCTTTGCTTTCAGCAAAAAAAACAACCAAAACAAAACAAAAAACCAACGCATTTCAGGTGATTGGAAGCACAGCGCATGGGTGAAACAAAATGCTCACCAACCCCAGAGGGTTTTGCTTCTCAGAACATCTGCGATTTGACTTGACCTCTCCGTGTCTCCATGCTCTGCAAACCCATCAGATGCATCTCAGAATGGGACCTACCCTTGAATTGAAGCCCTTACAGCCCTGGGAGCCCAAAGCCACCACGCTGTGCCCTGGATCCCATTACAGACCCTGCTGTTCCCTCAGCCCCATGCATACAGTGTGGCTGTTTGCTCCAGCTTTATCTCCAAGTGAAGGGATGAGAAAGGCAGAGAGGGAAGGGACGAGAAAATGACCCAGATCTGCGCCTACAAACTGCCACAGAGCCCATTAGGAGAGGGCAAACACAGCTTGGGAATCCAGGTAAGTCACTCACTAACAAGATCCTCCCGGGCCTTTTAGCACATTCCTGGTCACAGCCAGTTCAGTTCCCAGCTGTAATTAAGTCTGGGCTGTGAGGCAGGAGATGCTGCAGCCGAGGGGTGGGGGGGGTCTGTCTGGTGTTGCAGGAGCACACAGGGCTGATGAGAAGTGTTCTTTCTCAGGCAGGGGATGAGAGCATACAGCACAGCTGATGATGCCCTGAGCTGTGAGTCAGCTCCTGGGCAGGACACAGCCAGCAGCACCCATCGGGGCCCTGCACTGCAGCCAGGCAACCCCAGCCCCTCTTTCTGGCACTGTGAGATTGCAGTGACACAAGTGAGAGAAGCCAGAGCCTGCCCACAGAGTGCTGCTCCACCAGCTGCAGCTGGGAAGGTGATGGGCTGCCCATGCAGGGGCATGCGAGGTGGAAAGGTGACCTCATGCAGCCCTTTGTATCCTATTTCACCAATATCTGTGCCCAGTTTGGTGGCCGTGGTCTCACTCTGGGTCCTCAGAGTCCCCACTCAGGGGTGGCACTCAGGGAAGGCGCTCCCCTCGATGGATTCATCCCCACCTCGCTTCTCAGCCTTGATCATCTTCCCTCCACGTGAAAAAAGGAGCGGTGTCACCTCTGAGGTGATGCAGACAGGAGGTATTTGTGTTTCGTCTGCCGCCGTTTGCCGTTCCCAGCGATTTGTCACGCTCTGCTGACAACTCATTGGGGACCCGTGACACAGTGTGCCACCTATTAGCATGAGGACAAATCCTGACAGAGAAAGCATCCCTCCTCCTCCTCAGAGACCTTTCCTCTCTTGGTTGCCCTGCTGGACACCAGCTGCTCCTTCCTAGGTGACAAGGGACAGCCAAACCAAGAGGACACAAACCATACGTGCAGACCCAGAGCGTGATGTGGAAGTGCCCTGAGCCCACATCAAACATTTTCTCCCTGCCCAGAGCCACCCCAGTCCTGGTCCCACCCTGCCCAGTGCCAGCATGTTGTCACCAGAAGGTGACACCTCCAGCTCCCCGTGGCCCCCAGCCCTCCCCTCTCCTCACCATCGCCTGTGCTTCCAGCAGAGAAAAATGCTTATTCTCCTTAATGTGCTATTGCAGCCCAGACAGGCACTGCACACACACATGCACACACACACTGACACACTCACATGCACACAGTCTCTGTGCTACCCATACCAAACCCCTGCCCAAACCACGGGGGACCACTCTATTTCTCCACACCGTTTCGCCCCCAAGACTCCACCGCTCTCCCTTTGCTTTCAGCAGCCAAGCACGGATGAAATAACAGCAGGGATCAAACGACACTGAAATCAAGGCTATTCCTACCTGGCAGTCATTGATTTCCTTCCCCCTTTGCTGACATCACCGCTCCCTTCAGGTTAATACACGCACCACTTTCCTTATCTCTGCTCAGGATTACCTCATCGCAGCAAACCCAGCGCGCTCGCTCCTGCTCTGCCGAATGCCAGCACTGTGTCTGAACTGCAACTTCCCAACCAGAGGAAGGATTTCTCCAAACGCCGTTCCATCAGAGCCCTGATCTCTCCCTCATACGCTGACACACGGCTCTTTTTTGCTTACAGATCAGCTCTTTGCTCTCCAGTGCATGCTCCTGCTCCATGCAGACCGGATCGTTCCCTTTGCTTGCTTCTTGCACTTCAAACTGCAAAAGTGCTGTGTGCACACACACGAAAAACTTGGCGTGCGTGCACACCAACATGTGCAGGAGCACTCACACAACTGCACACCTCACTGCTGAAATACAACACTTGCAGGGCTCCTCAGCTCATTTAGCTGTATGCTAACGTGCTGCATGCAAACCGTGCCCATAGAAGCAAGGTGAACGCACACAGATGCATGTCGTCTCCACACATACTCACATCCTAATGAATTTTGACCAGCTGCTGATCGTTCTGCCCTAAAACAAAGAGAACTGACATTCTTTTTCTTTTTTTTTTTTGGCTAAGCACACCTCGTCCCCAAGAACAGCACCCCTGCGAGCCGGTGCCGTCTATTGGCTACAGCATAAATATTT